TTAAGCGTCTTCTACAATGGCAGTAAGAGTAATAGTAAGAAATAAGCAGTAAGAAAATGGACCAATTCCATTCTCACGATTCAAGAATAATCGATTATAATTGGTTCATTTTCTTACTGCTTATTTCTTACTAGTACTCCTATTGCCATTGTAGAAGACGCTTTAGACTAGTGGCACACAAAAAAACTTAAGCAGTAAAACGTAAGCAGTAAGCAAATTGACCAGTCATTGATTCTTCTTACGGTCCAAGAATCAACGACTGTGATTGGGCAATTTGCTTACCGCTTAAGTTTCTCTGTGTGCTATGGCCCTTAAGCAATTGGAAGCACCCTCTGAGTGGCAGTGAATTTTGGAAGGCAGCCAATGAAAAAGAACAAACCTTTTATGTCACGGTTCTCCGCAAGAGGTCTCTATCATATCTTTTGGAGACCTTTAAATCCGATTTATCAGAGTCGCCGTTCTGCGTCATTTATGCGCTTGGGTTTGCAATTGTATTTCTTAAGGATGTATATATTCCGCATCTAAATGTGCTCGAGAACGAATTATGGCATTCTCTCTTATCAGAGCTAAGACACTAGCACACAGCAACTTGCACTTACGTTTTTTCGCTAACGTATCAACCATGAAGGTAATCGCAGGAATTTGTTCGCATTTTCCTTTATTGCTTAATTCAAGACGTTTGCTTTATGAAATGACGAAATACAAAATTTTCGTCTAGTTTTTGGAAAAATTTAGCGTTACAACGAACATCGATGCAACTAATCTTAGTCTGTATCCGTGAACTTCCAAGAATGTAGTATGTTGACGTGATTTTGTTACAAGCGACAATTTTTTTTATTTGGCTATTGATTTTGCTGCAAATTATTGGGAATACTAATTTATTAGAAGTATTCTTATAGAATTTCTTTGTATGTGGACACGATTTTTGCTTTTTGCAGAAGGGATTAGTACTTGGAGTGTACGAGACAGACGACGAGAACAAAGTTGTACTTACTTCGACAGCAGCAAAATATAATGAGCTTGTTAAAGGCCAACTGTGGAAATACATCTTGCTGTAAGTTATTTTTGCCGCTACTATTTATTACCATTATTTGACAATATTTTTGTGTTTCTGTGTGATTTTAGAGATTACATTATTACAGTATGTGTTAATTTCTAACAATGTCCCTTTTGTGCACTGTTGTAGAATGTACGAGGACAAAAGTTTACCTAGATTTAAATAAAAATTCAAAATTGGAGAATCATTTTTTTTCTTGTATCAAACTCTTTCTACTGTCAATAAAATTGATTTATATTCTTTTGAATATCTGCTGGCTATAAAGGTTCTTACATACAAATATTTTGTTAAAAAACTAAAGTACTGCTAAATACTATGTTTACTTTTACAAGATATAATTGGTAGTAGAATTTTCAATGCATAGGCAATATGAATTTACTTACAAGATGTTTAGATACTAACAAAATATTATATTTATACAAAAATCTAATAATATTTATTACATATGTGCTCTTTTTGGATATAGCTTGTTTAATAAGTGTATACATAAAGATGTAGAACTACTAGAGCCTACTACAGTCTACTTGGTATCGCACTTTGTTATTCTTTCACTTTTATTTCGTTACTATACAATAATATAATAATATATGTTTATTAAATATTTTATTCATATTTCCAGCCTGAAACAATTGTTATAATGCTGCCTGAGCTTTGTCTGACATATTCAAAAGTGCTTTCCCTTTGTTATTTTAAAATTCTCACATAAAGTATTTTCTGTTAGTGAAAATTTTGAATTTTCGAGCGATAGTTTGTGCCTTATACGAGCTCACTGGCATTATTTTGATTGTTTCAGGAGTGACTAGACTGAGAGACGGTATTATACACATGATATGAAGCGCAACTTGCTCCGCACAAGGATTTCCTAGAAACACGCTGCGCTTTATAAATGAAAATATAATACTGCCTGTTTTATTCTTTTCCTCGCTTGATGATTCGAATGCGCCTATTAGGAATATTTCTGTACGTAAATCGAAGGCGCTGCGGGACTTTTCTTTTGACTTAATCATTGCTGCTTCAAGAAACTAACGGAAATCGAGTAAAATAGTAATGTCGACTCTTGGCGACGGTAATATGGGGAATGATAGCAGCGCAGGGAGCAGCGGTGGATTAGGCGAAGGTAGCGGTAAAACGAGTAAACAACCGGCGAACGTGTTGCAAAGGATAACAGGGATATTAGAAGATAAGAGCAACGATTATTTGTGCCCAATTTGTTTCGACCTTATCGACGAGGCACATATCACGCGTTGTGGACACACATTTTGTTACAGTTGTATCGTGAAGTCCTTAGAAACCAAAGATCGTTGTCCAAAATGTAGTTTCACGTTGAGCCAACAGGATATTTTTCCGAATTTCTTGTTACATGAACTAATATTAAAATATAAAATGAGGACTAAGGGTCTCGCACAGATAGGTTCTTACGCGACAGATAGTAGACGCAGATCAGCAGGCACTGATTCGTTGTCGTCTGCGTGTGACGGTTTGAGAAACATCGTGGCTGCGGAAAGCGCTAATCTCACTCTACCCGACGTGAATGTGATGTTGGAAGTATTGACTCAACGGAAGCATTTGCTCGAAGCAGAGACTTGTACAGCGCAGAATAAACTGCTGCACGAATTTTTGAAACACCTGCTGCAACAGAAAGAGGAACAGAAAAATCAGTTACAGAAGGAGGTAGCGTTAATCAAGAAAGACATGGCGGAAGTGGAAAATATTTTGAAAGATGTTCAGAGCAAATGTCCGCGAGTGGAGGATCTGAAGAAAATCAGTGAGCACGAGACAGCGCAGGTTTCCGCTATTAGGAAAGAGATGCTCGGCCTTATAGATATAATAGACTCAAATATGGTAAAACCTAGCGATAAAGCAACTGGCATGACCGATATTTTCTTCACAAATCATCCGGGCGGATCTGCTCAGAGACAGAGCGAATTTTCCGGTGGCTCAACCTTAGCCATACGTCGAAAGAGATTGCACGCACATTTTGACGATTTTGTGCAATGCTATTTCGATTCGCGCGGTAAAGAGTTACTGCTTGGTCAGAAGTCGCAGTCGTTACAAAGTGAAACGCAACAGCACGGCGGTGTGCATAGCACGAGCTCTGGTTTGGATGTGTTCCGTGAAAATCTGGTTAAATTCTCGCGGTATAATTCGCTGCGATCATTGGCTACACTCAACTATTCGTCGGATATCTTCAATAATTCTACCATCGTATCTAGTATCGAATTTGATAAGGATAACGAGTTTTTCGCGATTGCTGGTGTTACAAAACGCATCAAAGTATTCGATTATGGAGCTGTTATACGAGACACTGTAGACATTCACTATCCGTGTGTCGAAATGGTCTCGAGTTCAAAGATCTCGTGTGTCTCCTGGAATTCTTTTCATAAGGGGATGTTAGCCTCTTCAGATTATGAGGGTACGGTGACTGTGTGGGACGCCACAACGGGTCAACGTACAAAGGCATTTCAAGAACATGAAAAGCGATGCTGGTCTGTGGACTTCAACGATGTAGATACGAGATTAATTGCATCTGGTTCCGATGATGCTCGTGTCAAATTATGGGCACTGAATACGGATTACTCCGTAGCGTCATTAGAAGCAAAAGCCAATGTTTGTTGTGTCAAGTTCAATCCGCGTAGTTCGTGTCACCTGGCCTTTGGTTCTGCAGACCACTGCGTGCATTATTACGATTTGCGTAACATGAAAGAAGCGTTATGTATATTCAAGGGTCATCGTAAGGCCGTATCTTATGTTAAATTTATCAACAAAGAGGAGATCGTGTCTGCTAGCACAGATTCGCAATTGAAAATGTGGAATATTAACAATCCACTTTGCCTGCGTTCCTTCGTGGGACACGTTAATGAGAAAAACTTTGTTGGCCTTGCCACCGATGGTGATTATGTCGCTTGCGGGTCTGAAAATAATGCACTGTATGTGTATTATAAAGGTTTGACGAAGCAACTGTTTTCGTACAAATTCGATGCAGTGCGAAGCATACTGGAGTTACAGGACAGAAGAGAGGAGGATTTGAACGAATTCGTGTCCGCAGTCTGCTGGAGACAGATGTCCAATGTTGTGGTAGCCGCTAATTCCCAGGGAATTATTAAAATTTTAGAACTTGTTTGAGACAATTAGGAAGAACTGGTCGAGCAGGTGGCTAAATGAAATACTACTAATTTAAATTAAAAAGGGTTTAAATGACAAGAGGATAAGAAATTAACAAATGAACAATTTAATGTGTGCGTGAAGTGTTACTTATACGAAATTAAAGAATTTAATTTAATTAGAATTAATAATTTAACTGAAAGAACTCAGCAAATATGGTGACATCAAATGACGTATTAATAACGTTAGGGACGTTATTAATATATCATTAATATGTCATTTTACATTATCCTACTACTTTGAGAAAGTTCAGCTTTGACTTTCGGCTTGATTTGATGATATCTAAAGCACTGTATATAATACATCATAGGCGGTTAACGCGAAAATAACGTATTATTTTCGATAAGGTATTATATTCTTTTGATATTTTTGTTTCTTGTTTTATTTCTTTTTCCCTATTTTATATTCTTAGATCCTTTTTATTTTCTGATATTGAAATTTTACGATAATGCAAGGATAAGTAACAATGAAAAACAATTGAATCATTCTAAATAACATGACATTTAATTCTAATGATTTATAGAAAGAATTTCTAATGCAATGAAATTTAAACTGTCAGGCTGAGTGGTATAAATATCATATCTTGACAGTCAGGATAGTAATGCGACATTAAAAATGAATATTATGCAGATGATGATCTTTGATTGATCTATGCTCAATATACTGCGGAGCACAAATATTTTCGCTATGTACTGTATGCTGTATATAAGTGTGAAAAAGAAAGTAGAAGGTATTAGTATTATTACTTATTATGTTTTCATATTTTCAATATATTTTTTAATTTGATTTAATTTTAATATTCGAAATATTGACTGAATCGTAATATGTAATTAACGTTTTGCATTACACAGAAAATGATTTTTTTGAATTCAGTTCAATTTTGAATTCATTATTTATTTAATTAAAATAACAATGTTATATCAAATGTTATTTTGTTTAAATACAATGTTATTGTTTTATTACATTAAACCAAATATTGTTTGACGCAAAAGGAAACACTATTATTTGAAGAATATAAAGTTTGCTTTTCAACTAAAAAACTAAATATTATTTGATCATGTTCAAAATTTTACTTCGTAGGATTAAATAATATTATTTGATTGAAAACAAAATTGTTTTATACATTTAATTTCTAGTCTAATTTATTGTTCGAATTAGCTAGTATGTGTGATTAAAAATTTAAGAGCAATCATGGTGTTACTGGTTCATTAATATATGAAATCACGTAGGGAGAGGATACATATAATGAAGTAATAAAAAGAGACCGTCAGTCTCGCAAGAGAAATGGAATTTGAAATTTTTTAAAAATTATGTAAACTAAGTATTGATTACTCTGATTTTTTAAATAAAATGAGAAAATTGAGTGAATAGTTTTTTGAAACAATAAATTATTTGGATTAAAGTATAAAATTATTTGAGAGGCCATATAATCATATTTGTTTTATTTATTTTGGTCTAATAAATAAATTCACTTAAATTTAGCAAAATTGATTAAATCCAAAAAAATCGTTTTTTCTGTGTAATAGCAATTACACAAGATGTTTGTGCATACGATAATTTAAAAATTAAGGCAATTTTATACTCGATTATTAATTCTTAATACTTGTTCCCCAAACATGCCACAGCAACACGGTTATTAAACTATGTTTTATGCAGATGTATATTTTTAGGTGTGCCGGACATGAAAATAAAATGCGTTCGAGTAAGTGATACCTATAAATATTTATAAGAGAATGTGCGATTCTATATACATTTCTTATACACAAAACGATAGTTATATGTACATATGATAGTATGTGTGATGTATGTGAGTGAATACTAAAGTTTTTCTAATAGTGCTTTTTCAAACGTTATGTATCTGTTCTCGATAGCGACCTTTGAATTGAGGATAATATAATTGCGTGATAACGCTAAATTTTCTTTAGCGTTTATTAAATACGGAGTTGCTGTTTAAATTTTTGTAAAATTTCAGTTTTCATAAAGTGTAAAGTTACATAACTTTTTATTGGCATCTTCTATAGTAAGTTACTGATATGAAATTTTCAACTTGAGAAGTGATTTCTCAATATCATGACTTTACATGATTTTATAAAAAAAAGCTTGATAAAGTGCAATCAGTATCTTGTGAATAAATATTTTCTCGCGACGATAACAGTATCTACAGATAGCGCATATTTTGGTTGAGTACTTTGATACGTAACTCAACGTTTTATTACTGTACATCAAAACTTTATTATAAAATAGTAACTATTGTAGAAATACTTTAACTTTATTATGTACGAACGAGATGATTATAAAAGGAGATTGAGATATTCATTACATGTTATTCATTCTATAAGCAATACAAAGTTTATTAATCTGTACGTGTATGTACGTTCGCGTACATGCACGAATTCTAACGTGCCAAAATGTACAAAAGGCAAATGCAAAAATGAATATTATGGTAAATATATTATTCGCATAGATTTTTGTAGCGGGAAAATAGTAAAAAAGAAGTACATTTTATCTTCTTTTATACATTTGTGTCAAGTTTTTGTCATAAATATTAATTAGAAACGTAATTTTTTATTATTATTAAAAGAAATTAGTTAAATGTAAGTATACATCCATTGTATAATTATGTCAACTAAAACTCCATAACAAAATCGTATTATTCTATTATAGTATGTATAATATATATAGAGGAAGTTAATATTAAAATTTCTAAACATATTGTATTGTACTGTATATTAAATCACTACTAAATAGATTGTAACATATTCACAAATTTAACTTGTTAGTGGAAACTGAATGTGGAACAGCTATCTGTAATGTATTGACGCCGGTACAAAGCGAATTCTACTGTAGATTAGAAAACAACAGTTGTGAATGTCACAGTTGTGAGTTAATGTGTAGTTCACGAAGAGAATAATTGTAAATGTAGTCATGTATGAGATGTAACTGGATGGAGAAAAATATTCTAGAATAAAGAATAGTATATTTTTAGAATGTATTTTGAAATTGCGAATTATCATAATATGTGTAATGAATGTTAAGAAAAGGAAAAGAAATGCCTAGATTCTATTACAATTAATAAATTCACGATTTTGTGTCTGCGAATCTGTCTTTTAAATGTATTACTATTGCATGCATCTCCTCATTAAAGTAAACTAATTATTGCAACCAGATTTTTTCACTAATTTTAAATCACAGAGCAGGTCCAAAGATTCCTAAAGGCCAGGCCAGGGTGTTTTGGGGTTTGGATGAAACAGATTATAGCGGAATCGCGGTAGTTGGTCTAGGAAAGCAAGGTCTTGGTATTAACAAAAATGAAGAAATTCACGAAGGAAAAGAGAACGTGCGTGCTGCTGCAGCAGGTAAATCTTATTAATCAAGATATTGTGGTAAAAATATTCTATGTTAGTCAAGTCTTTTTTCAGATTATATTTTAAATTCGACATTAGATTTGAATATTTTTGATGTTTACATCTTGACACACAAGAAATTTATAAAAAAAAGCACTAATTTGTCTTTCAACGCGTTACAAAATTCAAATATAATTATAATTAACTATAATATGTATGATACTTATAATTCTATTAATTATAAAATGATTCATTGTATGTTTTATTATAGAATATTATTATTCTAGCGGGTTGCCGTGCTTTAGATGACGTTGATATAAAAGACATCAAATTAGAGACATTAGGTGATGCAGAAGCTGCTGCCGAGGGAGCTGGTCTTTGTACATGGCTTTATCAAGGATATAAAAATGAAGAGAAAAAGAAAAAGTTACCAAAAATCTCTTTATACGGAGAGGAAGGAAAGTGAGTATCTTCTTTGTATTCTTATCTGACTAAAGCGCGAAAATGGCTATACGAAATTAAATCAATTATTTTGAAGGATGGAATGGCAAGTGGGTATTATCAAAGCCCAGGCACAGAATTGGGCTCGTGAACTTGCGGATACACCCGCAAACCTAATGACACCCACGATATTCTCACAACGAGTCTCAGAAGTACTAACGTATCTCGGGGTCGACGTCCAAGTACATGATAAAAGCTGGGCCGAGCAGAAAAAAATGGGTTCATTCCTCAGTGTTGCGCGAGGAAGCTGCGAATCACCCAAATTTCTCGAGATCAGCTATAAGGGTGCTGAGAACCCGAACGAGGCTCCGGTGACATTTGTTGGTAAAGGAGTCACTTTCGATGCTGGTGGTATTAGTCTTAAAGTAAGTCTCTTTGCTTTTAATAAAATATTAAAAAAGAAAAAAACTTGAGTAAAAGATCACTTATAGCCACCATCAGAGATGGATGAAATGCGCGCCGACATGAGCGGTGCTGCTTGCGTAGTCGCCACTATTCGAGCTGCAGCAGAGCTGAAACTGAAGAGAAACATTGTCGGATTGATACCACTCACGGAAAATCTACCGTCAGGACATGCAACGAAGCCGGGCGATCTGGTGCAAGCGATGAATGGTAAAACTATCATCGTGGATAATACAGACGCAGAAGGCAGATTGATTCTCGCTGACGCGCTTTGTTACGCTCAAGAGTTTAATCCAAGGTACATGCAGCTCAGATTAATATAATATAGTGATTAAGTTCTTAAGTATACGTCATGACCATGTTAGATCATGATATTAGAAACAGAGAAATGACACACTGAAAATTTTTATATACTATTTTCGAGTAAAAAGACATTTGAATAAAAATTTCAAATCACTTGAGTAAAATCCTTTAATTTATATTTGTAAAATGCTTTAAAAATGATTTTTTTTCCTTGACAATCAATAAATAACTATAAAATTAACATGATAAAATTATAAAAAATGGTAAGGTATATTAAAGAAGAAGGTTGTATATTACTTTAACTTTATGGCTATTTATTAATTGTCAAGAGAAAATAATTTTCGGAGCATTTTATGTATGCTCAAGCGATTTGAGAGGTCTTCTCTCGTTAAAAAAATTTTATTTAAAAATAGTACGTAAAAAATTTTTTGGATTAACATTTTCTCGTTTTTGGCATGGATTAAAAGTTCCGCGGTACGATACCAATCTTAAGAAATAATATTGTATATCGATATAATATAATTTCGTAGTTTACATTTTTTTCTATTTGGTTGCACAGAATGCTTTTACAAAGTAAAAGTATAAATGTCAATATATGAAAAAACACTAAATATTGTATCAAAATTTTAGAAATTATTTTTATTTACATTTTATTTTGTTTTTAATATAATGTTTGGTGTTTTTCTATGCATTGACATTTGTACATTTGTATACTCTGTAAAAATATTTGCAATAACCAAATATAAAAACTCAAAACTACGAAACTGCATTATGTCGGTAGCATCTTCTTAAGGCTTTTGTTTTTACAATTATATTGATTTATGTTCAAAAACGAAAGAATACATTCTAAAATTCTTACAAAATATGTTGAAATAAAATGATATCCGTAAAATAATACTTGCAATTGAGCAGATCTGTAAAATAGTCCGAACACTTTCCTTTTGAATATAAATAAAACAAGGAAAGGCATTTAAGAGCCTAAGCACAGATTAAATAGTGCAATAGACATTGGCACAAATATAATTAAACGTTTCGACTCTTTTTGGGTCCTCTTCAGTAAACTAATATAAAAAACTAAAAAGCTCGCCAGTCAGAAAACAATAATGGTCAGTCGAAAGTCATTGGATTAAAAAAAAATGCACGCTCATGAGTTGATCGCTCGCAGAAAACATTGGATAAGATTTTGGCCCAAACATTTAATTTAAATTCTCCTCCCGACACGTCAACGCAGTGAATCATTAGTGCCATCATCGTTTATAAAGACGATGTGGAACAGGCTAGTGGATCAAGTTAATCTCGTAGATGAAGCCATAACCGAATTCTTTTAAACGATCCTGTTTTTGGATCCACCGAAAGTTGCGCTAATGTGTGAGACGCGACTCTGAGAAGTCGCTTAGAGGACAAGATAAGATGCAGAGATTGATTGATTCAAAAATTGTGCTGACGTAATTTTATTAGGCGTGTTAGTAATATACCACAAATTATAGATTAATTTCTGGCCATACTCAGACGTGCGGATATCTGGACAATCGTATGGTATCCTTTAGACGCGACGGAAATCTTCTGTTTGTCGGAAATTTTGACATAGGATACGTCTCAATGTTTCATTGTAGCACTTTTCAAATTTTCAAAATAACAGTTCAACAAAATCGACTAATTTGAGTTTGTACCGATCTAGATCGCGGCAAATTCTTAGGTACAATTTTTGTTTAGATCACGCTCGCGAAGAGAGCTCGTATGTACCTGCAGGTACGCGGAACGAGCGACCAAATAGTGTACGAACAGAAAAGAGCGATTTCAGGAAACTAATTTCGGAATACGAGTTATCGCTTCGCTACTGCTTCTGCTTTCAATCGTGAATTTTGGATTCATATATAATTATAATTTCTCAGACGGCACGCGGTGATTAGTCGCGAACTCAATGGATGAGAATTTCGCGACGATCATCGCGTGTTTTGATATTTATTGCTTATTGTGTGCAAGGAACATCTGGTGTTGCCTTCCAAGAATTATGATTTAAAATTGTAAGTATTATACACTAAATTCCGCGTATCGCTCTCCAATTCACGAATTTGTGATTTGAATTCTCGGTAAGCGTTGTCTTAGAAGTTGAGACAACATGACATGTTGCCAGATATTTGTCGAAGAAATCAGTTCGGCTATAATCACACTCTAATCACATGCAAAGTGAGATCGAAACCTTTTTTAAATTTTCTAAAAGATTCTCGATAAAAATCTTCGGGAAGATATTTGTATAATTTTTTTTGCGAATTCTAAACAGACCATAAAATTAACGTAATAAGATCATGAAAAAACATAAATTAAAAAGTAGGTTGTATATTTTGTTAATTTCACGGTAATTTATTGATTATTAGAAGAAAAGAGAAATCCTTGGACTATTTTGTATGTCCGACTGTAAATATCATTTTGTGAACTTATCTTTTTATTTCAACGTATTTTGCAAAAATTTTAGTGTATTGCTTCTGACGTTATCAATCAAGAGTACTATAGCGAAGGAAAGAGAGCCTTAAAATGAATGAAACAACATTAGAATTGGAGTAATATAAAAGAATTTTGCGAATAAATCGAGTTTTTTAAAATAATTAATTAATTTTAAAATAATTAGCGAAATTTCGCTAATTAATTTTCTTATACTTTGACGGCCGCACATTTCGCGCACAGTTTCGTATGTACCGCCGGTGACCGCGCAGATTTTACCGTTTACCGCCGGCACTTCTCATGCAGTCTATTATAATGTATTCGCGATATCAGAGCGAGATCACGCCTATGTGACTCTGACTGATAACCACTGGGTCTGCGAAATCACATACGTGACAGCGATCGTCAAGGTGTTAATAAATAAAAATCGGAATGTAAATTATGTTCAATGTGTATATATATATCGTTGTACAATGTATTCGGCACAAGTTAACTTCGCCGATTGTTTATAGATTTTATAAATTGAACCTTTCAACTAAATAGATTTATCTTGGACATTGCTACATTGACCGGTGCTATAAGAGTAACGTTGTCAACTGCTGCGACTGGAGTGTTCACCAATGACAGTGATCTTTACGAAACTTTAAGAAATGCCGGCACGATAACCGGTGATAGAGTATGGAGACTTCCTCTGTGGCAACATTTCACCGACGAAGTAACGAGTAAGAGATATTTTTCAATCGTCGACCATTCATGTTTCTTGATTCTTTCCAATAATAATATACTTATGAATAAAATCATTACTTTTCTTCCCAGCAAAATATTTAATCTTTTCTTATGGATCTCCATTTGTTTAAACTTAATGTGATGCTGGAATCTTTTATTATATTATCAAATAAATATCATTTCTATTCTGCAAGTCATTTTTCGTATTAGTTGCACGAAGTTACAAAAGCTTTTAAAAAATAAAATGCGTTAATGAGTAGAATAAAGAATAAACTTATGAAGAGAACAAAAAGTATTCTTAGTTTTATCGGTTTTTTCTGGCTTAGTATGGTTTAAAAAATTTATTGTTTATTTGAAAAAATATACTTCTGAATCTTTCGAGTA